AGGACCAGGGAAGTAGAGGGAGGTGAGGGCGGGGCCAGGACCAGAAGCTGTTCTTCTGGGGCCTAAGAAAGGGACTGAGTTCGTCTGGGTGAGAAGGGTCAGGAAGCAGTATTGGTTGGGGCCCCAAGACTAGGAATGGAGCAGGGTCCAAACTAGGAGTATACAACAGTGGGTGGGGGTGGGGTGGGGGGGATGGAAGGGTGAATGTGGCTTAGGGAGTCCCGGCATGGAGAGCTGCGCTATAGACTTACCCCAAGAGGACTGAGGATAGTAGTGCAGGCTAGGAGAGTTAGCTGGTGGTGCAGGCCCAGGGAAGCAGAGAGAGGTGAGGGCGGGGCCAGGACCAGAAGAGGTGCTCCTAGAGCCCAAGAAAGGGACTGAGTTCGTCTGGGTGAGAAGGATCAGGAAGCAGAATTGGTTCCCCAGGTGTCTGGGGCCCCAAGACTAGGAATGGAGCAGGGCCCAAACTAGGAGTATAGAACGGTGGGGGGGGGAATGGAAGGGTGAATGTGGCTTAGGGAGTCCCAGCGTTGAGAGCTGTGCTATAGACTTACCCAAAGAGGCCTGAGGATAGTAGTGAAATAATAAACTATTCTTAAAAAGAATGTGTGAAACTATAGATTTTACAGCCACACCAGTGTACTTCAAGACTAACACATGAGTCATAATGTGCCAGAAAATATGGCTTATGATAGTTACTGTTTCTGTTTAAATCTAGTCACTCACATAGAAATATATATCTCTAAAAATTACAGTTTCAGGTAATATCTATAAAATGTGTTTTAAACATGTATTTTCAAATCTATTGCAATCAAAGAATAAGGACATTGTAAAGAAATGTCATGAAAATCTAAACATCATAACTTTAGGGTCTGCTGTCATAAAATCAAGAAGGCTCAGTTCTCAGATTTCACTACTTTTCATTCTAAAGAACACTTGTATATGTGACTGTACCCCTAACTCCCTTCACTTTTCAATGTAACACTAGAATTTTGGTTTTTCCTTGTACAAGGAAAAAAACTGTATATCTCAAAAAGGCAAGTGTATGTTAATACTGGCGCACACTTTCCAAATGTGAAAGAAACACTGGGGGAGATAAAAAGAGTAATGAATGTAGAAGAAAATAAAGCTTTCTCGTGAGGCGAGACTATGTCAAATCCTGAAGTTATTTCTCCATGATTAACAGCTTTACAGAGTCACAAAAAGAAGGTACTATACCTGATTTTCTACACTGGCGTATCTTTTCAGGTGTTTTATAAATTCTGATCGAGAGGTATTTCGTGCAATTATAAGAGCCATGCTTCCATTATTTAATCTGAAATTAAATATTTGTATTTGAAATTATGTTTATTAAGAGATTACTTAACAAACTACTTCATATTATTTTTATAACAAATATGTTGCTTACTGGACACACTGAGCAAGACAGACAAATGACCATGTTAAATTTACCTAAAATTCTTTAAAAAATATTTTATTTTTTTTGTGGGTGCTGGGATTCAAACCCAGGTCTTCTGCAAGAACAACCAGTGTTCTTAACTGCTGAGCCATCTCTCCAGCCCCATACAGCTGAAATGTCTTAACAAATTCTTTGTTGCTTTTGTTCTTAAAATGTTTTTTATTTTTATTTTATGTGAATGAGTTTATTGCCTGCATGTATGTAAGTGCACCCATGCCACACAATGCCCACAGAGGCCAGAAGAGGGCATAAGATCCTCTGGAAGAGCAGCCAGTGCTCTTAACTGCTGAGCCATCTCTCTAGCCCCTGACTTAAAATTCTTAAAAGAGATTTGCTGTGCTGTTTTTAAGTGGTGCAGGCTTTCAAGTTGGGTTTACTAAACTACTGACTTCTTTCTCAGCAGCTCCTTACTGCACAGTCTGTAAAAATCAGACTTCCATGCATCCTACTCACATTAAAAAATAATTTTAGATCCACTGCAGCTATTTTTAATTAATTTATTTTTATTTTATGTGTATGAGTGTTTTGCTTGCATTTATGAGTGCACTCATGTCCTGCAATACCCACAGATGCCAGAAGAGGGCATCTGATCCCCTGTAACTGAAGTTATAGATGGTTGTTAGCAGCCATGTGGGTGCTGGGAATGAAACCCAGTCCTCTGGAGGAGCAGTCAGTACTCTTAACTGCTGAGCCATCTCTCCAGGCCCCGACTGCAGTTATTTAAGAATTCTAAACATGAAACTATGTATGCTGTTTAAAAGATGCATTATGAAATAACAAACATTTCCAAATGGCCTAAGTGATACAGCTAGACATTCTCTAAAAATCTAAACTCTGGTTTAAGTATTTACTTATAAGCCGAAGTTCAAAGTGACATAGGAGACAAAGTAGATCAAAGTGCCTTAAATAGATGAAATGGAGGGAACAATTGCCACCATACATGTTCAACTAAAAGACTGCAATTTTAATTTTGCATGATACTCACATCCAATAAAAGAGACTAGAAATCTAGAGGTGGGATTTAGTGCCACAGTACCCACTAACAAAAATCATTGACTTTAGAAGGTATTTAGGAGAATATATGCAATTAAGTTCATGCTTAATTTCAGTGCAAATATGAAGTTATTCCAACAATAACAATGACATTAAAAAGAGATCTTAAACCACATAGAGGACTCAGACTAGGGCTATGAGGCACCTTTGAGATCCTCTTGTTATTGAGTCATTTTTAAAAAAAAACAAAAACATTTTATTGCTTTTACTTTATATGTATGAGTGTATTGCCTGCATGTGTGTAAGTGCACCCAAGTCATACAATGCCCACAGAGGTCAGAAGAAAGCATCAGATCCCCTGATACTAGAGTTGTGGATGGTCATTAGCTACCATGTGGGTGCTGGGAATTGAACCTGGGTCCTCTGCAAGAACAGTCAGTGCTCTTAATTACCAAGCCACCTCTCCAGCCCTGTCACTGAATCATTTTAAGTAAGACTAGACCACCCCCCAGTGGAAGTGATGTTCTCAAAGATGCACAGAGAAAATCAAAACAATTACTGGCACCAGAGCTCGTAATCACCCAGGTCCAGTATTCTACTGCCTCCATGCAACCTCTTCCCTGCTGAGAACAAACAGCACTAAATGTTCAGAGCAGGGTCCCTGTATGACCTTTTCCTTAGCTGTGTGACTATAAATATGAAAAGCATTGCCTAAGTCTACTATTATTTACTATGAGTTAAAACTCTCTATGTCTGACACACATACTTCATATACAGTATTGCCTTTAAATTTGGAATATAAGAATATTGGTTCCTGGGGCTGGAGAGATGGCTCAGTGGTTAAGAACACTTGTTCTTCCAGAGGACCCAGGTTTGATTCCTAGTACCCACGTGGCAGCTAACAATCATCCATAACTCCAGTTCCAGGGGCTCCTCTCCGGCCTCTGATGGACATTGCCCACACATGGTGCACTTACATGCATGCAAGGCAAATCACCCACACACAGAAAATAAAACAATAAATATAATAAGTTTTAAAAGAAAATTGGTTCATAATTTCTTTATCATGAAATTTGCATTGGGGTTATTTTGAAATAAATTAAACTTCTTCATGAGGAAGAAAAATCGAATAGCTTTCCTATTCAGAAGCTACATTTCTGAGACTCTCTGGTGAACTGAAGCCCACTCTGAAGCTTTACGAAGCACGTCATATTTGGACTCTAAACCCCAGATGGACTCTCTAGTCATCCTTCTCCAAAATGCTCCTCGATGCTGACCTGGATAGTCAGCAATGGAAGCAGGTAAGCCCAATGCATGGGAAGTGGCCTCGAAGGAGGCATGAGTCATCTCTCTAAAGAGGAGTCTTACATTGGGAAGGTAATTGGCAACAGGGTTAGAGCTTCCAAAAAGAGCCTCCAGGGCACAGGTCCTCCACTAGTGAACTGTTTCTCTGTGCTTCACAAAGGGAACAGCATAGGGAAGCACAGAACTATCTAGCATTTCTGAACAACAAGGATCAAACAACTAAGACTAATTCAAGATTCAAGTACCCCTTTCCGGTTTCAGCACTAAATGTAGTTAGAGGTACCATGTCACCTGGGTTATGGAGGTTATTAGTTTCTCTATTTTCTTCCCTAACTGTGGATACTTCCTTGTTTGTCACCTTTATAAGGAAGAAAGAAGTTTAAAATCAATCCTTTTCTAGCTGTTAATCGTTTTGGTTAAATTTTTTTCAGGGAAATTGAAACTATTAAGATGTTTTCAGCCACCAAATTACCTAAGTCATGCTCTCATTTCATTTTAAGGGGAAAATTTCTAAATTGACTGTCCTTCACAGCAGTTCTAATCTTTTCTTCTGTGTTCTACATGACTACATTCAGAAGAGAATTATGTTTTAGATTCATAATGTACAGCTGTTTAAAAGAATATTCAAGAGGATGGATATCTTTAATTCTAAGGGGATACTTAAGTCTCACTAGTTAAATGAAAATATGGTCAGGAAATCCCTATGTGTCACTGTTTACATTAAGCAGAACCAAAATATTTCCTCAAGCTGAAACTATCAACCAAACCTAGATTCTCTGCAAGAGCAGTAAACACTCTTAACCACTAAACTAGCTCACTGTCCTAAGAATTTTTATCCTTGTATTAGAATTGGAAGCACAGACATCCACAAGAAACATCGAATTTTAGTATAATATATGTTGAGACCTATCCCATCAAGCATTTGTACCCAGATGTCCCTCCATGCAAGTTCATCCACTGGAGTCTAGTCAGGCCACCTAGAGTCACTCCTTTAAAGAAGATCTACTGTCCATCACTCAGCAGTAATCAGTTGCCAATAGTTCTTCACCTAATGTTAGGGTCTGCTGCCCATGTACACAGTTCCATACTGGCTTTTTGTCTGATTGAGTTGGCATGGGTCTTGTGCATGCTGTGTTACCATTGTTGCAAGTTCATATACGCAAGTTCCCAGTGACCTGAAAACCTGTTTTCTTACATTCATACACCAACCCTGCCTCTTTCAATCTTTCTGGCCCCTCTTCTACAATGGTCCCTGAGCCATGTGTGGGTGAGGTTTAAGACAGGAGTCCTATCCAGGGACATGCACTCTGAAGTCTGTTTTTTTTTTAACTTTTACAAAAACTTTATTGAGAATTTCATACATGCATATAAGGTGTTTTGATCAAATCCATGCCCACTCCCTCCCTTCCAACACCTCCCATAGCTCCCCATCACTTTTTTCTTTTTCTTTTTTTCTTCTTTCATTTGTTTATTTTTATGGGGCTTTTGGGTACTCTAACATTCCCCCCTCTAAAGAGGTAACTCTGCAGTCTCTTATTCCCTAATACCTGACCAGTTGTGGCCTTCTCTGTGCATTGCATTCTGTCGTATGAGGAAGATTCGCTGATGAAAGTTGAGGGACATATGCATGAGATTGGGGGGGAGATGAGGAGGTGTGGATAGTGGAGGGGCTCTAAATTTAAGATCTATTATATGAAATGCACAAAATTCAATAAAAATATATGTAAAAATAAATAAATCCATTAAAAAAATTTGCCAAGAAAAAAATAGCAATGATTCTCTTTTCAGACTTCCATCTGTCTGCAAATAAAATGTTAAGAATAAAAATAATAATGAAAACCTTTAAAAAATCAGTATGATAGTCTAAACATGTAGCAAGGATAAAGCAAACAAGGCAGGTGTGAAGCAATGTTATGTCAACAAAACCCAAGTAATAGTATGACCAGAGGCCTAGTAAAAACTCACTGATTATCTGACAATTCAACATTTGTTCTCTAAAATATCATACATAAACTGCATCTTCTCCCCATAATTACTATTCTTTTTAAAAAATTTTAACATAACTTTCATTAATTCTTAGGGAATTTCATACAATGTATTTTGATCATATTCACCACTAAACTCCTTCCCGATTCACACCGATCATCTCCCAACTTTGTGTCTTTTTTATTTTCAATAACCTACCAAGTATAATTTATGATGCCTATATACTCATGGGTGTGAGGCCACCCACTGGAGCATGGTAGACTTACCAGGGACTAGACCCTTCAAGAAAACTGACTCTCCCTCCCACAAAAGCCATTAATTGTCAATAGCTCCTTAGGGTTAGGAACTCATGAGCCACCACCCTCATGTGCTAGAATGTTGACTGGCTTGATCCTGTGCAGGTCTTGTATAAGTAACCATAGCTGTTGTGTGTTTATGAGTGAAGTATTTCTGTCATTCCCATAACACACTGTTTCACTGTACTCCTCCCTGATCTCTGGCTCTCACAGACTTTCTATCCTTTCTTCTGTGGTGGTCCTTGAGCCTTATGGGATGAGGGTTGTATTAAGGGATGTGGTGGGATGAGGATTGGTCCCTTTTGTGGCTGAGAACTCCATTGACACTTATTCTCTGCACTTATATCATAAAATCTACCTCTTAACAAGTCTCTAGCCAGCTAAGTGCTAAAGTATTACAAAAGAAAAATTATGTATTTTTAAAAAATGAGTACCAGTGACTAATTAGAACACTCACCTGGTGTCAGGTGCCAAGCCTCTAGGTGCTACTGAACACAGACAGGGAATAGCCATGATGCTGACATTCAAGAACTGGCCCTGGATCGTTTGCCATTGACCACAGTCTAAAGGGAACATAAGTGGCTGGTTACCTTCCTTCAGGAAAGTACACTGTCACCATAGCCTATTAAGGTCTCAGAGATACCTTCCAACTCACCTAAATTTGGAGGTTCCTGTAATCTCCTAAAAGTAAGGAAACAGAGTCAAAAAGACATCACAGATAAGCAAAATCAGCATCTATTAAATAAGGGGAAAATTAGAGAACCCATCATTGCATATATAAATATTTTCTTAAGAAAATCACTTAAAGATAGAAAAGTATTATAAGAAATGATTTTCATTTCATAATGACTATAACTCTTTTTTAATGTGGCTTTAATATTTATATTCCATGCTAAATTAAAATTCTCATGAGGATCAAAACTGTATATTTTGGTTAGCTTTTGGCTCATGGCTGTATCCAAAGTCTCTGGATCACAGTAGGCACTTGAATGGGTATTGGATAGACAGATCAATACATGAATGGATGAATGGTGGCTTGTGAAGACAGAAGGTAAACGGCATGCTTACTAGAGCCTGCATTAGTTTATGATTCTATGCTCTTCATTAATATGTAAGAAAATAGTGGAAATTCGTAAGTGTGATAAATTGCTTATGTCAAAATATTTTATTCTTTAAAGAAAGGTAAAGATATCAATTCATAGAGATTTTACCTACTTTTCTTGTTCATCCTGAAAGCAATCAGTTGGTAAAAATGAGATTTTGCAATCCTCTGGGCTAAAAAAGAATACAACTTGTTTTAATAGTTATTGATCTTAGGACATAGAATGTTTGGTTTAAGAAAAATACTCACTTAAGTTTGGTGAGTGCTTTAATTACAGCAAAGTCTCTCCGCTGACTAGGGGGCATCCATCGATATTTTTCTGCTAGAGCCAAAGTCCTTCCACCAAAGCCGAACATGGCTGAGAACCCGAAGCGAAGAAGCTTGCCAGCAGAGCTAAAGGTGCAGACATCCACGGACTGCATGTGCCCTTGAACGTTAATATTGAATCCATCAGTGAGTGGTCAAAACAGCAAGCATCAGAGAGCATCACAGAAGATGACTTCAAGGTACCATATGCCATAGTGACTATCCTTGCTTTCACTTCACCTGTCTTTACCTATAACCACTGTAAATGCCATTTAAACATTTTCTGATTCTGAGAGAGAAACCCAAAGTAGTAAGTTTTTTGTGGCCTCTTTCCTAGTCACCTAAAACAAGGCTGAGGATGTGAAACTGAGGTAGACATATGAAGAAAACCTACAGCTAACATTAATTCTACACTGCATTTAGCTGAACTTAAATGCTAGTAAACGCAACAATTTATGGTCTATAGAGGTATATGGGTTAAAATATTTTTCTTGAGTCTGGAGATATGGCTCATCAGTTAAGAGCACTGTCTGCGCTTGCAGAGGATCTGAGTTCAGTTCCCAGCACCCACATGGGGGCTAACAAACACCTATTAACTCCAGTTCTAGGGGCTCTGATGCCCTCTTCTTGCCTCCACAGGCATTGCACACACAGGTGCACTTACATACACACAGGCAGGCAAAACTCATACACAAAATAAAAATAAAATATTTTCTTGTCATTTTACTCTTTTGATAATATAATCTTAATCCTGAAGTCTTAGTACAGTCAAACAATAGTGCAAATTACATAACCAAATAGCATGCATGCATGGATTTTCTTCACCTGGTTTTACAGTTGTGATTTGGAACATCTTTCCAACATTTTTTTTTTTTTCTGTCAGGATTACAGTAAAACTCCATTAATCGCTTTTACAAAGCAAGTGTTTTGAAATAAAAGACAATTAAAAGAAAAGAATCCTTGCCTTTGAGCTAATTAATCAAACATGTCTATGTTCAGAGTAAAAGAATTTAACTGTTCCTAGGTAAGACTGACAGAAATATAATTGTGTTTCTTATATGAATAAAATTTTCTTACTACAGCACGAGGACTCTAGAAGAATCCTTACCCATTATAATGTGCATAGTTGCAGTCACCACGTGAGGTATTCCATAAAGAGAATGTGCCAATACATTCGTAGAGCCTGCCAAAACAATTTTAAAGCATGTACTACTAGTACGACATGTGTTTTAAATTATCAAGTGCTCTTATTTTACATAAGTATCACTATGTAATGCTAAGTTGTTAGAAATATAACTTCACAGCATAGATGCATGTGAGGTTTTGGAAGAATGTGGAAGACTTTGGAAGTTTGGGCTAGAAAAGCAGTTGTTTGCTGTAAGCAGAGCTTAACAGGCCAGTCTAGTAGACACCTGGAAGAAAGTAGTCTTGAGAACAATGTAGTTCCAGAGGGAAATAAGGACTTAAGCAGCAATTAGGATATTTTGGCAAAGAGTCTGGTGCCCACAGCCTAAGAACTTGCCTGAGGCTAAGTTGAAAAACCATGGACTAAATTCTCTGGCAGAAAAAATTTCAATACAGCATAACATAGAAATGGTGGTGTGGCTATTAATGGTGAATATTACACAGATTTACAGTGAAAAAGAGCAAATGGAACAGAAAGAAATACAGAATGTACAGGATGGATTGAAAAAGAGCACTAGGAAGATTATTAATCTGGGAGTCTTGGCATGTGCTGGAGAGGATCCCTTTGATAAGGAGATTAAAGTGATTAAGGAGGGGTCTAGAGAGTCACCCTTAAACAATGGAGAGAGTGCCTCCAGGGCAAGACCACACCCAGTTAAGCATTCAACTTGTGAAAGGAAAATGCTGCAGGGGCCACTGAAGAGAATAGCTTCAATGGATAGAGCAGTGTGGGGATCCATCAAAAACTTTCAGTCAAACTTGGCAGTGTCTTCACCTAGTGCTGGCTTTAGAGGCATGAAAAAGGCAAGAATGAAGGGATCATCAGTTCTTCCTCTGAAGTTTCAGAGAGCCTCGGAGGCCAGGCAGCATGAAGCAGGAGTTCTCCTGCACAGAGAAGGTCCTGATAGGCCATTATGTGAAGCTGTGAAGGTGAAGCTTGGTTGGAATGGAAACCCCAAGAAGACGTTTGTGATGCCAGAGCTGTGAAGCATCTGCCAAGAAGACCTGGGCGTGGTACCAGCTCAAGAGAGAGATACGTGTTGCACGCAGCAAAACTAGAGAGGCTGAGCCATCTAAGCCCTTTGGAAGTAAAGTCCCAGAAGCTGGACACGGAGCTACTGGATTTGGTGTTTGACCTGCTGATTTTCGGTCTTGTTTTGGTCTGGTATTTCCTCACTATGCCTCCATTCCTCCCCTTTGGAATGGTAATGTGTATTCGATTCCACTGTATGTTGGAACTATGTAATTTGTCTTTTGGTTTTATAGAGGCTTACAGTTAAGATATTCACCTGAGTCTCAAAAGAGACTTTGGACTATGGACTTTTGAATAGTATTGAGACTGGTAATGACTATGGGGACTTTTAAAGGTGGACTAAATGCATTTTGCATTTTATATGGTCATGAGCCTGTGGAGGCCAGTGGGTTGAATGTGGTGGTTTGAATGAAAATGTCCCCCATAGGCTCCAAGTATTTGGACATTTTTTCCCCAGATGGTGGCACTGTTTTGGGAGGTCTTAGAAGGTGTGGCTATCCTGGAGGAAGCACGTCACTGGGGGTGGGCTTAGAGACTTCTTAAGCTTTGCCGTATCTCCAGTTGCTCTCTTGCTTCCTGTGCCTGCTTGATGATGTGAGAGCTTAGCTTCTGTTGCTCCTGCTCCAGCCACTTCTAGTCACCATGCCTCCCTGTCATTATGGACTGTAATTCCCCCAGAACAGTAAGCTCAAATAAACTCTTCTTTTTTAAAATTGCTTTGGTCAATGTTTCTATCAGAGCAACAGAAAAGTGACTAATACAGATGCACATCAGGTGTTTTCGAAATTGATTGTTGAACTTCTTAATGACTTAAAATTGTGAAAACACTACAAAAGTTAGAAAACTAGGCTAAGTATATTAACCCAGAAGTGCAGTGCTTGACTAGCATGTACAAGGCCTTGTGTTACATCTCTAGAATCACAAAAAACTAGAAAACAATTTCCTGCTTCCAAGTTATTTTGATGATGGTATCTATTTTCTATTTCCTAGACTCAAAATTCTAATTATATAGGTTACTCCAACCAACTGTAATGAATAAGTCTTTAGTTTCTATACAAAAATGATCTTCAACAGCAAAAGAAAGGCTGTGAAGAGGAGACAAATGCACGAATATATAAATAAGAAAAACCCAAGCAGTAACTGAAACAGAAATACAGCATCTATATAAATCCCAACAAATATTTAAAAAGACATTTTATGAATTGTAGAGATAAACTCTCACCCCAAATGGGATTCCTTTACACATCTGAAGGGAAAAATAGTACTTGAAGAAAATTAACGTGACACTTTCCATCTGAAAATCTGTTTCTGAGACATAATTTGACTTATATAATCATTAAGATAACGTAAAATACTCAAGAATTCCCTCCCATCAGTCTACAGTGGGAAAGAGCTCCTGAGACAACTCATGTGATGTTTATGTGTGGCTAAAATCTGACATAAAGGTCTTTCTAAAAGGCTAAAAGTTGTTGAAAATTATTAGAAGAGTAATTAAGTTACAGGTTTTCCTTTTATTTAAGAACACAGGTGAGGAAGTGGTGGATGAATACAAGGAAATCATGTTGTCCAGACACAACAGGGTAATTTCCCATATGAACACACAGAACTTGTGACAGCATACATAAGACCTGCCAAGCTCAGGCCAGATGTAAAAATTCCAGGATGGATGGGGGAGGTGTGCAAGAAGCCTCAGTCCTAGTTGAGGAACTATTGATAACTGATAGTTTCTGGAAGAGGGAGAAATCTGTTTCCTTTAAAGTGTGATGCCATGTAAGATGTCCAGGCTCCAGGAGATGGAACCACACCTAAGAGCACTTGGAAACACAATTGGGGAACACAAATTAGACTAAATGGGATTTTAAAAATAATAATAATAGAAAACATGAATGCTGGGTGATTGAAAGGTAGGGCTAGAGATGTGGGAGATAGTCTGAATATTATCAAAATACATTGTATTAAATTCTCAAAGAATCAATAAAAATGCTTTTTATAAAAAGACACATCAAAGAGACCCAAAAATAACCAAGAGCTGTGAAATCATGTGTCTGGTGTGTAACCAGTTGCCAAGGCAAAGATTACTCCTCGAGAATTTGCTAATCAGGAGCGTTTCTGTGGCCATGAATAAGCACCTCAATTTGTATCACTTGAAAATATCTCATTATGTATTCAGTTGAAGATGCTAGGGCAGCTCAGACATTATGAACTAAGATGTCACTGAAAAAAAATCATTTACCATTTAACCATTAAATATTAATAAACTTTCTTTAACTACTAATGATAAATAAGCATAATTATGCCAGGACTCTAGTAATATCAATGCAAAGAAAAGCTCACCTTAACTAATGGCTAAATTCATTCTGACTGATTCACCAAAAGACAAGCTATATTCTGACTCTAATTACTCAGTTATGGCCCTTAGTTGAGCAAAAATAACAACACCCAAGTGTTTATTGAAAGGTGCTCATAAAGATACCCACTTTCAACATGTCTAGTCAAATTCTTTCTAGGAGTCCTCACCAAAACAGTTAGTCAAGAGGATGAAACCAAATATTCAAAAAGAAGAAGCTAAATCATCACCATTGCAATAATGTGATCACAGAAAAACTAAAAATTTACCAAAAACTAGTAGAAGTAGTAAATTGAGTAAAGTTGCAGGATATAAAATCAATACATATCTACAGTGTTTCTGTAAACACTAGCAACCTGTTTTAAACAGAAAGCAAGAAAATAAACGCATTTACAGTAACTGCAAAAAATACTTAGAAATACATTTAACCAAAGAAGTGAAGGATATAACCTAAAAACTATAAAACATCAATGAAAGAAATCAAAGATGACAGAAATAAATGTATAGATATCTTGTATTCATGAATTCGGGAAATTAATGTTGCTAAAATGTGCATACTACCTAAAGCAATCACTGTCAAAAGATTAAATGCAATTCAAAAGAAAATTGCACATTTTTTCTCATAGAAATAATGCATTCGTTAAAAGATTTTAAGAAGAAATTATTTTCTATTTCTATGAGAAAAAAATGATTGACAAAATATTAGAATCTTCATTTCTGGACTGCAGTGGTCACCTATAGACTGCATCTTGGGAATATGAAGAAAAGCAATATTCTGTGTTCCTATAATGGTAAAGCTCTCAAAATTCACCATCAGTACAATGTGAAACACTTTCCTCAGGCCCACAGACCTCAATCCCTTTACTGTACTTATCCTCTGCTTGGTGTGTTCACTATTTATCTAACCATCCCATTAGCCCACTAATAGTGTATGGTCTGATTACTAGCTCTATACATAAGATATGGTCATCCAACATTTCCTAAGTGAGTAAGTCTCTTGTTTTCTGAGAATTTCAAAAGACTTTTGGGAATCTTTTTTTTCTTTTCTTTTCTTTTTATAATAAAAGGTACAGAGTGGGCCCAAGGGTCAGAACAGCTGTGTAAAGTAAGCCCCTCTGTCCAGCTCAGTTTCCAGGGTAAAGAGATTCAACTCAGTTTCCTAGCTCTCAGTTCACAGAAAGAAGTGAGAGGGATAAATGCAGTAACTCTCAGTATTACTGGAGATCCTATTAAGGGAGCAAAGAGATGTGAGAAAACAGTGCGGAGAAACCAGGGTATCTGAGGAGGGAGACATAGTCACTGGAAAGAAACAAACCACTGAGTGCAATCAGCATCGATTCAATTGTCATCGAGAGGTCACAGAAGAGGACTGGGGCAAAGCCAGGCCTAGAGCCCTTAGAGCTCCAGGCTTACTGGAGCTGTGGTTTAAGAGCCTTTGGAAGGTGGAGAGAATCAGAGCTCTCCATCAGCCTTTGGAAGGTGGGGAGAACCAGAGCTCCCACCATTGCATGCAAAACAGTTATGATAGCAGCATGGCTGTCAACCCCCAACTACAGCACAGGTCAACACCAGTGGAAATCCAGTCTGCACTGACTTTCTTGTAAAGGGCGTAACATGTGCAGAGGGTTTTTTCTTCATGAACTCTTTCTACCCACTCATTCCTCTATCACTTCACTATTTAAACTAGATAAGAAGCTGCAAGCCATCTCAGCTAGCTTCTAATCTGGATGTGGCACCAATACTACACACAGGATTGAATGACTGACTAAGTCTTCCCAGTTCTTCCAATGGTGGGCTCAGTATACATCTTTGGATTGAATAGGTATGATCTTGTTTGAGAAAAATGTGCAAATATAAGGTCAGATTTTGTTAGTCTCAGCCCTAGAAAATTGGTGGAGCACTCCTCGGCTCTTGTATAGTTTGATAATTGGTTTTGATGCACCTTTGTATGTCTTAGCCAGCAGCAAAGGCTTCAGGTTTATCACCTTCCTATTGAACTAGAGGCTTACCAGTGATATCATCGATCCCATGCACATGAGGTGCACTGAAGTCCAGGTTATAGAGCCTCCCACTTTGAGGGTGAATCAATGGACAGCTCAAGCGATCTTTTAGTGTCTCAAATGGAATGTTCAAACTGATCACTATAGATTTTGTCCAAGACTTCAACCTGTACTAATGTCCTCTGGAAACCATCCAATAGCCAGTACTGGCTGCTCCTGGATTCCAGCTCTGATATCATGAGGCATGTGATCACATGATCTGTAACCAAAGACCTTTTCTTGGTACTGTTTTGCCATGTCTCCAACTTCTGTATTGGTCTTAAGGTTGTCCCATGCGACGTGATTACTGGAGAGATGCTGGAGGCCAAAGTTCTGTGAGATCCCGTCGGTGCACAGTGCCATTGCCCAAGCCAGCAGCCCAAAGCTGATTGTTTGCAGGAGTTTGGAGGTCATGGCCTTGGTGACAACAGAGCGACCAGACCTCTGTAGCCCACAAATTTTGTGTGTCAAGCTGGCCTCAGCACCTTCTGCACACACACAGAAAACAAATTCTTAAAATTTGTATGAAACCAAGAAGACCCTAAGTAGCCAAAACTTCTTGAAAAAGAGCAACACTTAAGCATGATAACCCCTAACTTCAAAATCTGCTACAAAACTGCAGTCATTGCAATAATGTGGAACTGGCATACAAACAGATGCACAGACCAACAGAATATAATACAAAGCCCCTCCTCTCCAAATAAAACAACCACAAGAATTTATGGCCAACTGTTTTTTCACAAATGTACCAAAAAAAATCACAACTTGGAAATAATAGTCTTTTCAATAAACCTGGAGGCTGGATGTTCACATACAGAATAATGCAATTAGACCCTTGCCTTTCAGGTATGCAGTCAACTGACAACGGATTTGAAAACTACTAGAAGACAACAGAGAGGAGAGGTCCATGCCAGTGGTCTGAGCAATGATTTTCTGGTATGATCCCAAAAGCATGGATGACAAAAGCAAAAACAGACACATGGGATTACACTACATTAATCAATGGAGTGAGAGATGACCAACAGAATAGGACAAAACATGTAAACACCCACAGCTGGTAAGGGGTTCATATCCAAAATACAGATATATGTGACTTATGATAGTGCTACATTCTGAGAAATGTATTTGTAGTTGATTTTGTCACTGTGCAAACATCAGAGAGCATAGACATGACCAGAGAGTGTGGACAAACCAAGATGGTATAGCCTAGTACACACCTAGCTATATATGCTACTGCTCCTAGCTACAAACGCTATCATACTCCTCTCCCCAAGGCTTGGAGATCACTGAGTTACAGGGGACAAAAAATGATGAGACAGAGATGGTAGATGACCACAACAAAAAAGTTTTTTCTGGACACAACAGAAGAACTGTACATGGAATTCCCAAAGCATGAAGTATTATTTTTTAAAATCATGAAAAACTTTATGTCCTTATCCCATAAACTTTTAAAATAAATCATTTTAAAAGTTTTAAATATCTTTGTTTAAAACCAAGGCATACACATGACTTGGACCTACTCAAGGTGTGGGTCTGGGGCAGCACTGTCTTCCACATCTATACCTTGACCAATGGAAGGTCTCTGCTGTCACATTCTATGACAGCAGGACCTTCTCTGGATCCCTCCTGAAGGACCTGCCTGTGGCTCCTCTTAGGAAGATTCTTTTCAGAAATACAGCCATGGTGGCTGCTTGTTTTGTTTCATCATAGATTTGCTTACCAAAAGATAATGTACCATGAACATTCATGTCCATTCATGGAAGGTCCTAACCCCTTTACTGAGTTTTCTTGGGCATTTTCTTGATTTTTTTGGTATTTCCTTATCTCTTGCTTTTTTTAGCTATGTGTTCACTAAGTGCCATGAATTTTTCAGTTCTGTTAGGAACCTAGGGACCATGATTGTATATGAGGTCTCTCATTAACAAAAATGTGATTACACAGTGAACAATTACATATAAGGGACTCAATGTCTCTTTTTAAAATTTCAGTCTCATTTAAAAAGGAGTAAAGATTGTGAATATTTATTTCTCTAAAAAATACATACGAATGACCAATGAGGATATAAAACAAATGCCGAACACTAACTAACCACAGAAATGCAATTTATAACCACAATAAGCACCCTATGGTAATATACAAACTAAAGTTGGAATGATACAGAGATGGAGAGCATGTCCTTGACTAGGATGACATGCAAATTCATTAATTGTTTTATGTTCTTACCAAAGCTATTCTACAAAGTCCAATACCAAAACAAGATAAAGATATGACAAAAATAAAACTATAGACTTAATTCCCTAATGAACACCATAGAAACTGTCCATTAAAAACTTGCAAACTGGAGAAGGCTGGACAGGTGGCTCAGTGGGTAAGAGCACTTATTGCTGCTCTTGCAGAGGAGCCAGATTCAGCTCTCAGAAGCCAAATGGCAGCTTAAAACCATCCCCAACTCCAGTTCCAGGGAATCTGACCTCCTCTTCTGGCCTCCATGGGCATTGCATGCACATGGTACACTTACAGAAACACAAGCTAAAGATTCATACACATAAAAAAGAAAGCTTGTAAAGAGAATTAAACAACATATTACAAAGACCATACACAACTTGATTTTATTTGAGAGATGTAAGGATTATTCAAAATAGCAAATCAATAACACAATTACATAAATAAACACAAGGGCAGAAATCATATGACCATAAGACCTGAAACTTCAAACTTGCTATATGAAAACACAGGTAAAGGAGTTCAAGATATCAGCATAAGCAAGGATTTTCTACAGCCCCAGCTGACCTGTAGCTCACTACGTAGACCAGGCTGGTCTTGAACTCACAGAGATCCTCCTGCCTCTGGATCCCAAGTGCTGGAATTAAAGGCGTGCACCACCAAGCCCAGCTTTCTAAAAAGGACTCCTAATAGCACAAGAACAAGCCCAAGAACTCACAAATGGGATTGTATGAAATTAAAAAGCTTCTGCACATGGTAGGTTAGATATCTTTTCAAATAGCATAGTTCCCTGAAATAAAATAGAACTATCTGCATTTTACAACTTCACATGGACTTTCTCATGAACTTACCTGTTTTCTTCAAAGTGTCAAAAAAAATGTACTTAACACCAGGTATGGTGGTGCACACTTTTAATCCCAGCTCTCGGAGGCAGAGGCAGGCAGATCTCTGTGAGATCTAGGCCAGCCTGGTCTGCATAGTGAGCTTCAAGCCAGTTGAGGCTACAGGGGGACCCTATCTCAAAAAAAAACAAAATAAAATTAAGGCTTCTGCACAGCAAAGGCAACAATTATCAGAGTGAAAAGAAAGTTTATAGAATGGAAAAAATTCTTTGACAGATACACACCAGACAGGAAACTAATTTCTAAGATATATAAAGACTGCACAAATTAAACATCAAAAAAATCCCATATCATTCAATCAATAAATGGGCTAGTGAACTGAATCAACAATTCTCAAAAGGAAATAACAAATAGACAACAAAGTTGAAAAAGTTCAGCTTCCTTAGCCACCAGGAAAACACAAATTAAACCTTTTTGGATTTTATCTCATCCCAGTCAAGATGATTGTTTCCAAGGAAACAAATGGCAACAAAAGTCAGCTAAGAGAAAAGGGAACCCTTATTCAGTACTGGTAGGAATGTAAACTGGTACAAACACTATGGAAATCAGGATGGAGTTTCCTCAACAAATTGAAAATAGAACTACTATATGACCCAGTATATGACTCTGGGATAGATACTAGAAGCATCAAAGTCAAACATCACAGAGATGCTTGCACATCCATGTTTACTGTGACACTGTTCACAATAAATAAGGTGATAAATCAGCCTGGATATCCATAACAGATGAATGGATAAGGAAAATTTGGTATATATACACAATGGAGGCTTATTTAGTCACACGAAGAATGAAATTATGTCATTTGCAGGTAAATGATAGAAGAAAATTAAGCCAGTCTCAGAAAAATTGATATTGCATCTGCTTTCATACATACATACATACATACACACATACATACATGACATGAGAATAGAAGAAGACTATTAGGGAGTAGTAGAGCGACTTACAGGTGGAGGAAACATAAGAAATGGGAGTGAAATATGAGCAAAGTACAAATCTGCATGCATAAAGATGTCATATAAAACCTATTATTTTGTACAGTCCTTTAAAAATGAAAAAGAAAAAAAGAAACCAAAATTAAGATATCACCTGACACCACTTATTTCTTTAAGATTAAAAATGTTTATTTCATTTATTTATTTATTGTGAGCGCCAGTGGAAGTCAGGGGACAATATATGAAAGTCTGTTCTTTCCTTCCACCATGTGGGTCTCAGGAATTGAGCTCTGGTCATCAGGCTTGGTGGCAAGGGCCTGTCATTGAGCCATCTCACTGGTCTTATTTATTATTTTTTAAAATCAGTCAGAATGTGGAGAAGTTCCTGCACACTCCTGATGGGATACCAAAAGATTTCCATTGTGATGGAAATCAGCATGGGAGATCCTCAAAAATGGGAACAGACCTACCATATGACTAAGCAGTCCTGCTACCTGCATTCCTTTGGAAATAAAATCACTATGTCAGGAACACATCTGCACCCCCATGTTCACAGCACCAGTATCCTCAATAACCAAGATATTGGCTCAACCTAAATGACCAATAGGTAAATGGATAAGGAAAAAATGTATTTACAATGGAATATAGCCTTTTTTTATGTGTATGAGTGTACTGCCTGCATGTATGCGAGTACACCTGTGTCCTGCCATGCTGCGGAGGACAGAAGAGGGCTTCAGATTCCCCTGGGACTGGAGTTAAGGACGGCTTGTAGCTGCCATATGGATGCTGGGAATTGAACCCAGGTCCTCTACAAGAGCAGTCAGTGCTCTTAACTGATGAGCCATCTCTCCATCTCTGGAATGTGGCCTTTTTAAAGAAGGTCATCTTATTATTTCTGACTATGACAAATGGATGAATTTAGAGAAAATTATGAAAGCTAAAATAATCCAGACACAGAGAAACAAATACTGTAAAAGTATCATTTATATGTGAAATCTGAAAAAAAATTCAACCCACAGAAACAGATTCAACCCACAGAAACAGGACCAGTGACTGACAGATGAGAAGCTGGAGGCTCTCCTATACGGCATGGTGACAACAATTAACGTGTAACGTAATTGAAAACTGCTGAGCGCAGGATTGATTTTCACAAAAAAATTAAAATGTGGAGGTGTGCATATGTTAAATTAGCCCAACTTAGTCATTCCATCATGTCTACAACTACTACAATATCATGTTGCATATGTTAACTATGAATATGTTTCAGTCAATTCAAAAATAAATGAGGAAAAGGCACGTAAATCAGTAACTGATGGAAATAAAATAACTTTAAAAATACTATCCTGAATATTATACTGAATCAGTCTACAGTTTCTAAGATCCAAGGGTGATTTTGACAGAAGCGTGGTCTATTAACCAGCAATATCAACATTACCTGGTTCTTAGGCTTAACCTCCAGTTCACGCAGTCAGTATGAGTTGAGTGTGTGCCTACACAGACTCACACACACACCCAGAAGGGACCTGGCTGTGGGTTTTAACAAGGTCTCATGGTGATTTGATTGCATTCTTGGTCTGAGAACCAGTCATCTAGAAACCTTTATTCTGTGAATCTGGACCTTTCCATGATCTTTTGGTGCTTTACAGCCTGCCTCTGGCCATCTAATCGATGGTGCATCTCAAATGATAGAAAAGAAAGAAGAGGAACAAATCAATCCATTTTTCTTTCTCCATCAGATTTATGGTAA